AGATGAGCATTAGACCATAGAAAGACAGATAATCATCATTTTTGCTCGAATCAAAAGCGCACAACAGAGCATCGAAGAATACTCTGAAATTCGCATGGAAATAATACACTTCTGCAGTTTATAGAGCCCCGTTCCCAGATGGAAATGAAAGAGTAAATTCAGCAGACAGAACGCAATGGAAAAGTTCAAATATAATAACCTTGCATCAGTTCTAGGCGGTCGCGCCACGGGCTGCAAGCTGTGCATATCACCATCTCTGACCCAATGGGTAGCTAGAATTGAAGCATCTTCGAATAGGAAAGCGGAAAGAAATGTCTGTATCGTATCCCGGTGAGAAATGACCTAAAACGCCAAAGTTACCACACTTACAATCAGGTTGTTCTTCATTGAATTTAAAACGAAAGAAACATATCACTGATAAAAAATGCAAAAAAAGATATGACGTTGAACGAAACTGACCAACAAAAACTCGGCGAAAAAGAAGAAGCTGGAAACTGGCGTCAGCAGAATAGCATTATTATAACGTCTAGGGGCGAGACTATTCAGGAGAAGTGGAATGAGGAACCGTGAGCAGATCAATGAAGACAAAGAATCGGCCATAGCAGCAACCTCCAACAACTCTCCCATATAATGCAACAGGTCGATAAGATCATCAACCTGAATACCTTACCAAATAATTCCACTCAGATGTTCTTCAACAGGGATTCAGTGAATCTGTTTATGAGGAAATCAAGAAAAATGCGGACAGTTGGTACATATAAAAACTGTTGAACAACAGCTTCGCGGATAAGATAGGCTATGGTTCCACATTGTTCAATAGAAAAACGAAAACTTTAAAGTGCGTTCATACTACGCGATCTGATCGCGCGTGTGATTTGGACGCTTTGGAGCCGCGTGGTTTTTGTACTTCCTCGCGTAAGGAAGATGACCCAGTGAACCTCCGCTCTTTACCATTACCTTCACCCAAGCCCTTGGTATACCTGCTTCTAACCTTCCTGCTGCTGCCAGCTTTTAACAGAGCGACCAAGTCGCTCGCACAATGCGGGCAACCGAAATATGAACACTTTCCCTATATGATTATGTAGATGCTGAGCGAGCTAATTATCAATGACAAATGAAATAATGACTAACTTTTTGTCTAAGCAGTTCTCTGTTCGCTATAACATTCTCAGCCGATCTCACGAAAGTGTCTAACTCTATTGCTTGTGTGACGAGGCTATCAACCAAGTTATACAAGTACACCTGAATGTGAAAATATTCATAAAGATCATAAAAGGACACCACTGATGAAGCGAAATTGGGGAAACTCACTTTAGTTGCGCCTTTCACAAAGGCCGTCATGGATGGATCATTAACACGAACAATATTCAAAACAATGTTACGTACAGCTATACGAACCATACTCTCGCTTGAATCGAAGAATTTCAGAGATTCCGTTAAGAGAGGGAATTCCTCCGTCGCCTAAAGAAATAAATCAAGAACAACTCTGCTAACAGGTAATTTCAAGACCAAGCTCGGTATGGAACAAGACAATCGCAACGGTGGGCATGGCGAGCGATGTCGCGCCCGATAGACGAGTGGTAGTGCCCTGCTGCTTGTAATTGGGTGTTCAATGGACGGAAAAATTCAATTTCTGCGTGATGGGGTTTTGTCTCTTCTTGAATTCACATAAATTTCGTTAAGTTTCTCCACTCAATAAACTGACGCATAAGGACTTGAGCAAATCGCCGCGCGCGACGACGCATGCCATTGCGACAAATGACGACTTTCTTGTCCGCCTTTCCGCATGATCTGCATGACTTATGAGAAGCACTTTCTCTCCGCAAAAAGCGCACGCCATTGTAGTTGAAGGCTCGAAGTGCACAAGGTCTTGTGAACGGTTGCCATCTGCGCTGTTCCAAGACTGACCGAAACTAGAGCGCTTGCACACTTTGCGTCAGCCTTCCTAGCCGCTTTAAACAAGAGCGATGCCACTTGTTTTAGGCGACTAGGAACGATACAGGAACCGATTTCCAGCGGTTTGAAGCGCTAGATTGATACCTATGGCTTCCTAGTCGCCGAAAACGCAGGCGTACGCTCAAAACGCTGATGCGGTGTGTGAACGCACTCTTGCATTTAACGATATTCAACAAGAAAAAACATTAATTCATTAAAAGCAGACCATTACGACCTAGCATTACCTCGTTGAAAAAGAAGTGTATAGTCGACGGATTTAATTTGAAAGAAAGTGTCTTCAGAAATGAAATATAATACGCCATTATTTCCTCATTGGTGAAATCAAAAGTATGTGTAACTATCGAGTTGACATGATTATTGCTCAAGAGGAAGTCTGTAATTGTAACAAATCAGGCAACTGAAAGCGACAGAAAAACTACAAAACTTGGTAGAATTAAAACTCACAGAGAGAAGTTTCATGTCGAATATTTTCAAATAAAATATTCAACGTTTGCAGGAGTTGTACATTCAGAGAACCACCATCTTGTTTCATTATTTGCAAGAAATATGAAAGCATTTGTCGTTCCAGGAAAAAGCTAGAAGAACAAGGTTCAGAGGACTAATCTAGGGATTGTCCTCCTTTCAAAAGGCGTAATTACATTACTAATAGTGGGTTCATAATTCGGCAGCCGATCGATTGACTTGCGCGATTCAATCGCACAAGCGATCCGATCGCGCTATCCAAGCACTCGTATGGCGAAGTATAAACGCGCTCTAAGGCGGCGTTCGTCCTTTATAAAAGTGAAGAATGCGCAATTTGAAGAATCGGCGACACAGTATCAGACGCGCACCAATCGGTGCCGATTGTTCCGAATCGCCGACTTTCCCTAGTCGCGGATCTGCTTTGCTCCAAATCAGGGAACTGTTCAAATCTTTCTCCAGTTTTTTTTGCCATCTTGTCGAGATCCTACCGCCGTGTGCCATAAGCAGAATTCTGTCAAAGGGCATCGGATACCCATAATCAACGCGATTCCATACCAGTCTTATTACACAAGACTGCGTACTTTGAGACGGTAGAAAAGAAGAGCCCACAAGTCAACGACGAGAGAATGCGCGCCAAATGAAAATACAGGCAGCGATCTGGCGTGCAGCGATCTGGCGTGCAGCGAGAACAGGAGAAAACGAGAATCAGCGAATCCATGTTTTCAGAGAACGCGCGTTCTAAGTCGAATCGCTGCGAGCTTCGCTGGTCGATACCCCTCCAATCCTATAGCGACCATTCTCCCAAAGGGTATTCGCTGCTTGTCCTACTGTTCTGTCGCAGAGTAAACGTATCCTCAGGATGCGTTCACACTTTCCGTCGGCGTTTCGAGTAATTCCAGCGCTCTAGGCGGAGAGGGAAGTATAGGTGTAGATCCAGTTCTGAACGAATCGGCGTTTTGAACGCCGATTATACCAACACAATTCTCTTCGCTCAGGACGCTCGAGAGTCAAATTAACAACCATACAATTTTCTTAGCTCAAAACGGCGGAACAGATCAACTACCTATACCTCTCTGTCCGCCCGCAACG